AGATCCTGCTCCACATGTGGCACCCGTCGTGTTGCTTATTGTATTACAAATCCGGTAAATAGGTCACATTCGTGAAAAGGGAAGGGTATTGTAGTTACGACATAAGGAACATATCCGATATCCTCTGTGAAACGGTTATTCCATAACGGTCAACCAACGCGTGATGGCGTCCGTAAAATTAACGAAGGGATGATTTAAACTTCATCATTTGGAACTCTTGGTTTAATAACTTCCTTGTGAGCAGCAATCCTCTATCAAGGAAATCATGATAGGAAATACAGGCCCGGGAATATCGTATCAATTGGGAGATATATACTCCGTATGCAGGCGCTGCATACGGAGTATATATAAAGTGCTCCATGTATTCATATCAATTGCATGTTTATCACATTATGATTTAATATTACACCTTTGCAAAACAAAAGCATCAACACACGTCACCATACAGTTTGCATAGATTAGGAGACAATGCTTACATAACAAACAGTTATTGAATTAATAATTCAAACATTTTCAACATTTCGAAAGGTAAAATTTTAAACTGCCTAACAAGTTATAGCTTTTAAGTACACGGTACCAATAACGCGTTTTCAACAATCTTCCTGGCGGTTAAGTTATACTACAAAATGGATATAAGCAGTGTCCTTCTTTCACTTTTATTTCTAAGGCTTGTCAACGGTCGAGTTGTTACTGGTGAGTAATTTTACTCTTTTTTTCACAATTTGAATACCATAAGATTGTTGTTCAAAACGAATTTATTATCAGTAGCTGTTACATGTACCTCTGTAAATTAACTGTTAATTTAATGTTAAAATCATGTTGATACCACTAAGGCTTTTTAACTCCAGGTATAGATGATGACCTTAGCTTTGGCTCAACTTTTTAGATATGATTTTGGATTTCAATGTTATTCACGAGACTGAGGCGAAAGATATAAAAGAGAAATTCAAACTCATAAGTCGAAATTTGATAATGCCATGGGAAAAACTGAAAAACAATCACAAGACAAACAGTATACAAAACACACTATAGAATACAAAAGACTGAACAACACGAATCCCACCAATAACCGGGGTGGAGGGGGGGAGAGGGGGGGGGGGGGGGTAGGTGGTAGTGGTTGTTTGGGGAGGGGTGATCTTAGCTGCTCCTTAAGGGTTAGAAGATCCTTCTCCACATATAACACTCGTCCTGTTGCTCTTGTAAATACTAAACCAGTATTCATCTTCGTTATTGATTTCGTTGTCTAACTTTTTGATTTGAGCATTACTGTTAAAAACTCGCCAGTGCCGCTCGAATCTAACAATATGGATGAAACTCCAGTATTGCAAATAAATTAGAAACAAAGTATAGTTGATGATTTTTTTTTTTTATAATATCATCAACTTTGAAGAAATATTCATATGAAAATTATAATAATAAACTCCTTATAGACACTAGGATAAAAAAAAAATCTGAGCGAAAGACGCGTGTTTTGTCTACTTATCAGTGACGCTCATATTACTTCAAGGTTTAAAAAATATTCTTTAAAATTAAAATATTGCCTGTTCCAAGCAGGGAGATTATAGGGCACTGGGTGTCGTTTGTTGCCATCTGAAATAATAGTAATTTTAAAATTATTAGGTTTTAAGTTTTTGAAAAAAAACTGTTGTATTGAAGTTAGCCTATTACTTGAGAGTGAAAAATAAAATTTGTAGAGCCAGGGAGATACAACATGGACAGTTGAAAGTGCCATAATCACTCGATCACGGGTCGGAACACTGACCATCGCAATGTACAATTATTCTAACATTCTAATGTGAGTCTGTCCTTTCCGATCGTTACCTTTTCACTTTTACATTAAAGTTATTATCAAAATCATTTCTTATCAAACATTCACAAATCTCTTTAATCTGTTAATAGAAAATGAATTATGGCCGATTTGGTTATGTGATTGATGAATTAATGTATCCAGGATACCAGCACAAACTGCGTTAACGCGCGTTTAAGACAGGGAGTAAACGTGCGTTTACTTTTAACAAAATTAGAAAACACGCCGTTTTTACCTTAACGCGTATGTAAACGTAAATTTTTCTGTCTACTAAAATTTTGAGGTTATAACAGAATAAACGTGGCGTTTTCACAAAGTGCAAATGAGTTAACGCCGCGCTAACTTTTTTCCGGTTCACATTTTATGTTTGGTCTGCATCTCATGGGCTGTACGTTATATTCAAATCGACGTCCTGTAAACAATTCGGCGTTCTCTTTGCGATAACAGTCTCAAATCGATGTTCAAAAATTTGTAACCTGTAATTGAAACCAAACTTTAAGGTTTACGTCATGAATTAAAAAATAAGAGAAAGAAATCTGCTCTAATCGACACCAAATATTACATTACAGTATTCACAATGTTTAAATCATATTGTGTTTATTATATTGTAATTTTTTTCCAAAGGGAAAATTGGCTTTGAAAAGGGGATCCTTATTTGCCGTCAACTTTAATTTTTTTTATTAATTATGACGTTAGATTGTATTCCCATTTGCTGAACAATCGTCGATCTGGGTCCGACATTGATGCACTACTCTGAAATGCGATGGTGTATCGAAAGTGTGCAGTACCAGTATTGTCGAAACATTTCTACGCGAACTTCAGGATTACGGGCAACAACAAAGATCAGCCAAAAATAACATCTTAAATAGTTAACATACTAATGACTAATACATGCATGCAAATGTCAATACACCGGCCAACCAACTACGTAATACTTGATAAATATCAATTCACCAAACTTTAATAACAAATGGACTTTATTTCACGTAAATCTTGTGTTGAAATTTCCATATTTTGTCGTTAGGTTGCTGTCACATTTGTATATATCTTCATTTATTCATAACATTGGTATACCAATCAAGTTATATATTGTATTTAATTGATTCAATTAACAGACATTAAATTCTATATAAAAATGAGATGTGATGTGATTGCAAATGAGACAACTATCCATTGGAGTTAAAATGAAGTGGAAGTAAGCAAATGTAGTTCACCGTTCGGCTTTCAACAAAGAGAAAAAACCCATACCGTATAGTCGGCTTAAAAACGCCCGACATGAAAATTGTGAAATAATTCAAACGAGAAGACTAACTACCTAATTTATAAAAAATCAGTCAACGAAAAACAAATATGACTGACATGAACCAAGGCCAACCTCTGTCCTACAGGTTCCCGACTTGGGACACGTACAAAAAGAATGTGGCGGGGTTAAACTTGTTTGTGAGCGCTCAACCCCCCTAATCCGAGACAGTTGTGTAACTTTATTTCACGGGCATCAAGTGATATAAATTCCCATTTTTTCTCTCTATTATAAAGAATTTTTACCAAAAAAAGTAAGGTGAGCCCTAACTTGGGCTATATGTCACGTTACCAACAAATTGATGCTGAAAGAGATAAAAAAGATTGTTAGAAAATTTGAATTAAATATAAGAGATCGACTTAAGGAAGAGGAATCTATAGATTCATATTCAAATCACAGAGAAGACAATTTGACAATAGCTTACGACAAGAGGAACGCAAACACTAAATGCAAAGGCTAAATGCAAAGGCTTAACTTCATACGATTCTTCAACATCGACTATGAAAATTTACATGATGCATTAGTGCATCACCCTCTCACATATATTTTTCAATGGTGGAACGATGAGTATTCTAAATTGTTTTATAGCGATATTGTTCACGTCAATGGCCAATATATAGCGCGACTGCAAAATTTGAATTTACTTCTGAAGCAAAAACTAGATAATTCGGATAGACCTGAAGAAAATGACATCTCGGGCATCACGGAAGTTGATGAGTCGATTGTATAGGGAAAAACCAAAAAGGTCGTCAATTAACCTGAAAAAAAACGCGAAAGCAATTGGAATAGACAAAATACCTTATGAAATTTTAGAAGGGATAAACTGACAATTTTCTATATGAATTCTGGAACCTTTTTTTAAAATGGCACAGTGCCTGATTGCTTGTACAAAAGTATCATTTGTCCATTGCCTAAGAGAATGGGAAAGACTAATATTATACATAAAGTTACAGGCGTTTGAGTCTCAGTACTAGTTCAACTGAATTCAAATATAATGTAGTTAATGATAGACCAATGAGGTACCTTGAAAACATAACTCTACTGAGAATAGTGACAATTTGATTTTTATTCTTCAGATTTTGTCTTGACCACAGTTACTGTTGTGTTTTGTGTACTGTTATTTGTCTGAATGTCTGTTGGTATTTTTTTTCTTTTTCAGCCATGTCATTGTTAGTTTGTTTTCGACTAGAGTTTGAATGTCCCTTTGGTATCTGTCGCCTCTCTTTTACTCACTACGTTCTATACCGCAAAACCAAAAAAATAATGACACATGTTTATGTTTTGTTGATTTAAAAGACGGACGAACGATACCAGAGGGACAGTCATACTCATAGATCAAAAACAAACTGACAACGCCATGTAGTTTTAAGTAGTGTTCGATTTTGTTGATATGGTTGGATAATCAAATAATCTGTGAGCTGCGGAAATTCATTGAAACATGTTCAAAGTCATAAAAGTATGTACTTATATCTGAAAAGTGCTTTTATTCCACTTGCAATGATTGCAATATATACAGTAAAAGTAATGACATACCAATTAAAGGAGATGTTGGGTATATCATGTATATGTCAATAAGACAGTAACGCATGGGACATCTACAGCTCTTCAACATAAGACAATTGTCTACAAAACATGCCTATCACCCCTATGAAACCCTGGGGTAAATAAAAGAACTTGAATCCGTATGTTCTAATGAGAGAATAAGGGGTTCCCCAATTAGGTGCGTCTATGCTTTTAATGTATTTATCAAGTACGGAACCAATCAAGCCATTTAAGTTAATGCACTTTACCGTCCTGACTGATACATTAATACTTAAAACCATGAGTTAGGAATGTTTCCTTAATATTTTTTTTTTAAATTATTGTTCAAGTTTTACTTTTTAATTTAGGTTTCTTCGATACATCAACAACTGGATACGTTGCACATTATATCACTCCTGGACTGGACAGTTTTTCTGCTTTACCAAACGGTGACAATGTCATTGGGGTATGGTTATATGAAGATGGATTCGTTATCCTAAGCCCTACAACAAATGGACAGAGGTTGAATTATACTATATTTCTTGGTGGTGTTTGGACCTTGACATCAACTATATATAGGAACTTCAACGGTAAATCAAAACAAGTGGCAATACACGACACGACAACCAGAAATTCGAGATATTTTTGGATTGGATGGTACAACGACAAAATACAAGTTGGATTATCTAGTATCGTTTCTAAAAATGTTATCATGGAGTATACTGATCCTTGTCCATTCAGAATCCATTACGTTGCTGTCAGTAGAGTTACACATTCATATTGGGGGATACATCTAGGCGTTGGTATGATTCTCTAAGTTTAGAATTACGAACGGGTTTGTACTTACATGAGCAACACGACGGTTGCCACACGTGGAGCAGGATCTGCTAGCCCTTCCGGATCACATGAGATCACCCTCGGTTTTAGAATTGGATACGCGTTGCTCAGTCTTTAGTTTTCTATATTATGTTTTGCATACTGTTGTTTGTTTTTTTGGTCCTTTTCTTTTTTGCAATGTCAACTTTCGCATCTCGTTTATCTAACCAGAATCATATATTTTTCCAAAGATGATTCCTTTTTCTTAATTTCTTAAATTGGTCGGAATTTGCATTCCATTTGAATTGGATCTTATCAATCCTGAACATTGGGTTCCGGTAAGGCATTTTTTTTTGTTCTTTCCTTTTCATGATTGTTTAATATTAATCGAAATAAAAAGTTAGATAACAAAAATACCGAACTCCGAGGGAAATTCTAAACGAACAGTCCCTAATCAAATGGCAAAATCAAAGGCTCAAACACATCAAAAGACTAATAAAAGACTTCAGTTTATATTGGTTTCGGTCAACACAGGACAGGTTATGATGTGCTAGTAATTCAAGTCTTAACATCATTATCATCTTATTTCAAAAGAAACACTTATGCGGTGTCCTTTTTCAGTATAAGTATAGTCTGAGTTTGATATGATTAATTAGAAATAAAACCTCATGAACGATACCAGGCTAACCTACTATTATTCGAACATATAAATAAAAGCAATATTATTGTTATTTCCTTGATTATTGAGAACATATTAAAAGAGAGGTGAAAGATACCAAAGGGACATTCAAACTTATAAGTCGATAATAACTGACAATGTCATGGCTAAAAAGGAAAAGACCAACAGACATACAATAGTACACAAAACACAAAATAGAAAACTAAAGACTGAGCAACACGAACCCAACCATTAACTGGGGCAGATGTCAGGTTCTTCGGAAGGGTAAGCAGATCCTGCTCCAAATGTGACACCCGTCGTGTTGCTCATGTTAGTACAAACCCTGAAATTAAAGCAGACTTTGTATAGATATAAGAAGATGTGGTATGAGTGCCAATGAGACAACTCTCCATCCAAGTCAAAATTTATAAAAGTAAACCATAATAGGTCAAAGTACGGTCTTCAACACGGAGCCTTGGCTCACACCGAACAGCAAGTTATAAAGGGCCCCAAAAATTACTAGTGTAAAACCATTCAAACGGGAAAACGAACGGTCTAATCTATATAAAAAAACGAGAAACGAGAAACACTTATGAACCACATCAACAAACTACAACTACTGAACAAATATGTCCATCTTGTAATGATGTTTTCAATATGCTATCAATATCAATTGTTATTAGCTTAATTCCCACCCAGATTGAAACATGCTTAAAAATACCCACAAAGTTCTTATTATTTTCTTTAAAGAAAGACCGTTAACAATTGTATTTTTGTGTTTTGTGTACTATTGTATGTCTGTTGGTCTTTTTCCTTTTTAGCCATGGCATTGTCAGTTATTATCGACTTATGAGTTTGAATGTCCCTTTGGCATCTTTCGCCTCTCTTTTAATATGTTCTCAATAATCAAGGAAATAACAATAATATTGCATTTATTTATTTATATGTTCGAATTATAGTAAGTTAGCCTGGTATCGTTCATGAGGTTTTTTTCTAATACTTATAACCTTGATGCACTGTTTTGTGTTTATTAAAATATCACAAAAAGCATACAATTTAAGAGGTTTTAGTGCATCTATAGCTGTAAACAGAACCCTTACTTTTATACGAATTGGTCCTCAAGTGGTTGTAAAAATACACTTTTCAATTAAACAGTACTTTAACGTAGTGTTATTTTACATAATAACATCCTTAAAGAAGAATAAATTTCCTAACCATAGCCACAAAACTAAATTTATCTACAGAAAAATTAGAAGGACATTCATGCATCGGAGGTTTTACTTGGTTTTTAAACTCATAAACTTAGAAGTAAGCTTTAACTCAAATGTATGGAAACGCATATTAGTCACCAGTTGGCCAGTTGTTACCACAACTTGACGACAAACACAAGTGGGAATGTTGCCTTGTTATAGAACTTGTACATATAAACAAGTTTACTTGTTTAATTAATATTTCAACTTGTAGACTTACAACAAGTTGACTTGTTGGGTTCCTCCGTACAAGGGCACAAACCAAAAAGTACACAAAATATTATTGTGTCCTAGTACACTTTGCCGTTTGTACACTTGTTAATTGAACTTTCTTTCTAGCTTTATAAAAGTATACTTTCCAAGATAATCAAGTTCACTTCTCGTGTTGTTTCTCGCTTTGCCGACATAGTATAAGTTCATTTGTATTGTTTTTTATGACACATTTGAACTTGTTAAGAAAATATGGTTGATTTACTTGCGCAAAGTAAACATAATTTTCATATTGAGCGCGAAATTATCGTGAGATTTTGATTTTATGAATACATATTTTGTTTTCATGAATACATATTTTGTTTTCATGAATACACATTTGATTGTTTTTTAATGAACAATTATTTGTTTTTATGAACATATATTAATTTTTTAAAGAACAAATACTTATTAATGACCATATATTTATGTTTTATGCATATACATATGTATATTATATTTTATGAACACATATTTTGGTTTATTGAATATATATTTTGTTTTTATGAACATATATTCGTTTTTAAGAACAATTATTTATTTTATGAACATATATTTTGTTTTTTGTGAATATTGCAACGTTTCACACGCCATACCCGGGGGTCTTATTTATCTTTTTAAAACCTAACCTAACTTCATTCATTTCTTTCTTGCACAAGTTCGTTAAAGATTAATGTAATTAAATAAATGTAATTACACATGAAAACAATATTTGGCCGGCTAGAGTATTTTCGTGAAAAAGTTAGGATCAAAGAGAGGATTGAATTTGCATTTTGTCACTTGACAGGTGCAAATATTTTCAAAAAGTAAGGGTATTTTAATCTTTAACCTTGGTATATACTTCATTAAAACAAACTCATTTATGATTCGTTTTCTTCATCAGATAATACACTGTAATTACATGTCACGGATTATCAGTAAACGCACGAGATTATGACATAACTGGGGGTCTACCCATCCCCGATATTCCAACGACCATTATTCCTATACCTCATTAGTCCAACACCCCAATATCCCGACGCCGCCCCATTAGTCCGTGACCCCATTGAACCAACACCCCGATACTAATCGGACAAATAGGCTGTCGGGCTAGTGGGGTGTTGGACTTACGGGGTGTCGGAATATCATGGCTGCCCCTATATTAGTCCTAGATTGCTCTAGGGTCGTCAAGTTGGTTACTTATTCCTTATTCCTTATTCGTTACCTATTCGTTACTTATTCTCTTATTCGTTACCTATTCGTTACCTATTCGATACTTATCCCTTATTCCTTATTCGGTATTAATTCGATTTTAATATGTTTCAATCTTTCAATGCTTTATTTTTTTTTATCTCTGGTAATAGTTCTTTGTTTATCGAGGGAAAAATTACCCTCTTAGCGCGTAGGTATCCGTTTTTGCGCTCGACTGATCCCCTGTTATTTATTCGCTACTTATTAGTTCCTTTTTCGATTTTTATACGTTGCACCTTTGTATTGCTTTATTTTCGTGTCTCTAGTGTTGGTTCTTGGTTCGTAGAGGTGAAATTACTTTATTAGCGCGTATGTACCCGTTTCAGCGCTCGACTGATACCCTGTTACTTATTCGCTACTTATTCGTTCCTTATTCATTTTTTATACGTTGAACCTTTTTAATGCTTTTATTTTCTTTTTTTTTTTGTCTCTGGTGTTAGCTGTAGGTCTGTAGATGGGAAATAACCCTTTTAGCGCGTATGTACCCGTTTCAGCGCTCGACTGATACCCTGTTACTCATTCGTCCCTTATTCGCTTGTAATACGTTTGTTATACGTTGCACCTTTTAAAAAAAAATCAAACGTTTTCTTGTCTCTGGTGTAAGCTATGTGTTTTAAGGGGTATAATAACCCTATTAGCGCGTATGTATCAGTTTCAGCGCTCGACTGATACCCTGTAACTTATTCGCTTCTTATTTGTTCCTAATTTACTTTTTATACATTGTAACTTTTAAAGCTTTATTTTCTTTTATTTTCTTGTCTCTGTTGTTAGCTGTGGGTTTGTAAATGGGAAATAACCCTATTAGCGCGTATGTGCCCGTTTCAACGCTCAACTCATACCCTGTTACTTATTCGTTCCTTATTCGCTTGTAATACATTTGTTATACATTGCACATTGTAAAAAAATTTTTTTTTTTGTCTCTGGTGTTAGCTATGGGTTCTTAAAGGTGAATTAACCCTATTAGCACGTATGTACCCGTTTCAGCGCTAGACTGATGCCCTGTTACTTATTCGCTACTTATTTGTTCATACATTGCTCCTTTTTAATGATTTTGTCTTTTCCTTATTAGTCTGTGGTGTTAGTCCTGTGTAATTGGAGCTGAAATAACCCTGTTAGCGCATATGAACCAGTTCATGCGCTCGACTGATACTCTGTTACTTCCTCGTTCCTTAATGTTTTTTACGCGCTCGACTGATACCCTGTTTCTTATTCGATTTTTATACGTTGGTCTTTTGATTATTTTTGTTCGTGTGTTGTGTGTTAGTTCTCAAGTTTGTGGTTTGTTCCTTATTCATTTTATATACATTGCCCCCTTTTTATTGTTTTATTTTTCATTTGATGTCTTTGGTGTTATTCCTGGATTTGTGGTGTTGATATAACCCAGTAAGCTTAATGTACCAGTTTTTACGCTCCAGTGATACCCGGTTACTTTTTGTGCCCTTTCTTTTGCTTTCTTAGTTCTGGTGTTAGTTATTGGTTCATGCAGGTAAAATTACCATATTGGTACGTATTTCCCCGTCTCCGCGCTTGAATGATATCTGTTACTTATTTGATACCTTTTTGTTTTTTATTTGCAATGTTTTTGAGGCCATATGAGATG